CGCCCCTCACACCCCTCCCGCGCCAACGTGACGCGCTCTGCGCACGTGACGCCCTGGCCCGGTCTCCTGGGGTTCCCTCCCCTCGAGGTGGGGCGGGGCGAAAAGGAGAAGGTCTCTGCTGATTGGCTGTCAGGAGGGGCAAAGGCGGAGGGAGCTGGGAGATTTAAAGGGACAGGGAGACGCCCCCGGCAGGCCCCCGGGAGAGAGAGGGAGGTGGGGGAGACTGGATTTGGCCGACGCAAAGGGATCTGGGGGAAGAGAGGACTGTAACTGGGCGCCTCCCCCTAGGCGTAGGATGTGCACGGGAGAGGCAGACCTCTACCCCAGAACCCAGCACTGTGACTGCCGAAGTCTCTGGATTGGGGCTTGGAGCGAAGGATGGGGAAGAAACCAGATTTAAAAAAAAACAAACTAGAACATGGACAGGAGCGCTCCGACCCTAGAAGGCTCCCCTCCGCTCCTCTCGCGGCTGGAAAGAAGCCGATACCGCGCTGCGAGCCTTTGATGTCGGGATTGTGTTTCTCTTTCCAACCTTCAGCCACTTTCCCCAAAGCCCCAGTTGTCTGAAAAGGACACACTTTCCATGTCGCTGGTGGATTTTCCTCAAGCGGAGCAGAGGGACGGGGCGGATGCAATAGCCCCCAAATACAGACGGGCGGAGAGCTGTGTGAAGCGAAAGATGGAGAAAGAATAGGAGGGGAAGTCAGGGCAGTAGAATAGACTGATGCCTCAATATGCAATAGAATTAAAAGACTTTGAGTGAGATTTTTCAAAGAAAGGGGACCGAGGGGGAGGATTCGGTCTAGGAAAACTAAAAGCCCTGGGTGCGGAGAGCGCGCTCCCTCATGTAGGTGTACAAAAGAAAATGTAGACGATGGGGGAGTGGGCGCTGCCCCCTTGGGGCGATCTCTACCAGGGGACCCCAGGAGGTCCAGCCTCCGCCCACCCGCAGGGCCGCCTCTGCCCCAAGCCTCCTGGGATGGTGGGGCTGAGGAGGACCGGTGAGGGCCTAGGGGCCGAACAGAGCCGAGATCAACACGGTCCTCAGATAAGCAGCCTCTATGTAGTTCCACGGCTTTCTCTGGTCACTCCCTTTTAGTGCGGAGTATTTTCATGATTTAAACTGCTCCCTATTTCAAAGAGAAAAATTAACACCAACTTACTGATTTTTCAAAAGCCTCCACCCCTCCCCCGTTTTTCTCCCAATCTCCCAACTTGTCAGGGGCCCCAGGGTCACTCCTTTTCTGGGGGAGCATCTCTGTGGAACTGAACCAAGCTCCCCTTCAGCCCGAGGCCTCCCCGAGGGGTAATAAAGAGAGAGAAATAGGAGGCGAGACGGGCTGCAGTGTCTCCCTCATTCCTGCTTGGTCCACAGGTCCTAAATGCTGGGTGCTCTTGTCCAACCAGTGCACAGACCGTGGCCACGCAGTAGTCCTTCGCCAAACCCGGATCCACTGGACCCCTCAAACCCGGGAGCAAATGGACAGGTCTGTGCTGAGACCCCTGCGGGTGCCTCCCTCCTCTCCATAGGGAGAAGGTGGTGTTTGACCGTTTAGAGCCCGGGGCATTGGGGAGCTGGGATAAGAAACGTAGTTCTTATCGGCAGGATCTTCATCCAGAAGGGTCAGCTCAGAGTTCAGAAAACAGGCTGCGGGCTGGGCTGGTCGTCGGAGGGAAAATCCGACTGAAAGAGGTTTGAAACCAGCAGACCAGCTTGAGGGCTTGTTGAGGGTGGTGATGACGGTGGGGCCAGAAGAGATGGGCCCTGTGGAAGGTGGGATCTTGCTGGGAGTCGGCCTGGCTAGGAACCTGGTTATCCTGCTGCTGGAGTCCAAGGTCAAGGTAAAAGGAGTAGAGCAAACAAGGCCTGGCCAAGTCTAGACCGCTGTCGTATGACCTTGGCCCCTTAGCCTAAGACGTAGAGGTGGCTGGGAGGTCTGCCTTTTTCCAGCCGCGGGTCCTAGCGGTGGCTCGAGGCCTTGGCCTCCCCTCCAGTGAGGTGCGGCGCCTCCGGTTCCCCATGAACAGGATTCTGTGGGGCTGCCAGGGGAAACAAAGGGCTTGAAATGCCCACTCCATTCCTGGGGCTCCCTCCCGGTCCGGTCCATTGCCCGATGCGTCTCTGGCGGGCCTGGACCCAAACCTTAGAGAGTAGGGGCCAGAACGGCGGGAAGGATCAGGGTGCAGCACGGCCCAGCAATAAATAAAATTAATAGTATGTTCTTTTCCAGGTTTATATAAGGGCATTAACTATTCCTATTGCAATGAGATATAGATTTAATTAACCCGGCAACTTTACAATTCCATTTATTAGGGGCACTATGCGGCCAAAATTTAGTGGCGAGAAGAAAGTAAGGGAACCAAAGTCCCCCTTCGTCAAGAAGACCGGCCAAAGGTGTAGCCTCCTCCCCAGACGATTTGGGGGTGTGGGAAGGCCAGAGAGGAAAGTTCGGGCTAGGGACTCTAAAAAGGGCCGGGAAGTCCGCATGCTCTGAACAATTCCCCCTTCTTTCTCGCGATTCCCCCAAGACCTGCAGCGCCTGCAGAAGCTGGTTCCAAGTCTGGGGCGCGCTGGGATC